TTTTATTTGTTGTTCTTAAAATATCCGAAGACATTATATTTAAAGAAATTAGTTCATTAGTATGATTGTTTGCTAAATACAGTAAATCATATAAGTTATTAATAAATGATACTGTAACTGTATTATCACTTTGTGGAAACTTTCCCCATTATGAATTTAAAATCATTTTAACAATTGTACAAATACATATATTTTTTCTAATATTATTTCTATCTAATTGAACTCCTTCGTGTTTGTAATAATCTATTATAAAATCATTTAGTTTATCTTCATTAACAGTTTCATCCTCATTATAACATTCTGAAGGAATACCACTATTTTCTTGTTTCATTTTTATAAAATTATTTACAAATTGACCAAAAATTTTACCCTCATTTTTATAGCGATAAATTTCATATATTTTAATTATTCTATAACCACATTCAATACCTTTATTTATCTCAACACTAGTCCATGTACCCCTTAGTGCTCTCTTGTCATCATTATGATTAAATTTTTTATTTTTTTTCCATAGCACAAGTGTAACACAATGTAAATATCAATTTATTATCAATGCGTAAGAGTAAACTGGAAACAGAAGTGTACTAGGTGGTAATATTCAGCATTTAAATAATTCAAACATACTAGCAACATCAATATTTAGCCATTCTTCCCCTAAATATATTTCAGGATGATTAAGAGGATATTCATATTTTTTTTTAATATTTGGGTATAATGATGTAAAGTCAATATATTTAATCTTTTCATTTTCTTTCACTTCATAATATAAACATAAAGGTGATGAGCTATCACCAAATAATGCGTCATGTGGATGTAACGGTAGCACATTAAAAAATTCATTTTTCCTATTTTTTTCAGTTATATTTTTGTCTTTTGAATATTCACATTCCCACATTACGACTACGTTATAATTTTTATCAATTAATTGTTTTGAAAATTGTTTTGTTTGCATTCTAAAAAAATACATTTTTACTTTTTTCAGTGTATTATAATCATCATTATTAAAACATTTATTACAACCATGAAAAAAACATCTGTGAAATTAATATACATTATTGTTTTCTTCATAATATCCATCAACAAATCTACCTAAAATTTTTCTTTCTCCATTAATGGATAATTTGTATTCTAAAGTGTAATCCATTTCATTCAATTCTGATTTAACTTTGCTAAACCAACATAATGCTATTTAACTTTGCATGGTGTTACCCCTGTACCCAAATGATGGCATTTGTGTAATTTTATCATCTTGTAAATATAATTACTTCTGAATATTTTTGATGTTAAACCAGCAATTGTTATGCATGATGTATCGTAAAAAGGTGAAATGTTTGTGATGTTGTAGATTAAATTGGAAAATTTTATACATCCAAGTCTTAATATATTAACATCATTTACTACAATAATATTAAATTGCATCTCGAAATATGTATTCTTTTACACATTGTTTGTTATGCCATGTGTCAAAATTATTTGTTTAACTTTCTAAAATATCAAAGTACTTTTTATCAATCATATTTCCTTTATATGTTAATTCAAAAAAATTATATATGAATGATATCCTTTTACAATATTGTCAATTTCGAGTGATTTTGGAAAGTTTGCTAATTTCATTGGCAAAAACGAATAGCTATCAATAATTTGTTGATTAATTTCTTTTATTTTGAAAATAAATTTTATTTCCATTGATGAAAGTTTTGGGAATTAGATTTTTTCCTTTCAATAAGTATTTCATTAAAAATATTGTGTCAATTGTAGCACCATTATGTGCAATCCAAACAGAATTTCTTTGTTCTAACATAAACTGAACAAATCGTGATGTTACATCATCATTATTACAATGAAATAGAAATTGACAATAACTACAGCAATCAACGGGATCAATTGATAATTAGTAATATAATCCATATCCACATTTACAAACATGTAATAATCTACATTTACAAACATGTAATAATCCATATCCAGTAGAAAATACTCAAAATTTTTGTGGAAAGGAATTTTCTCGCATTTCCGACATATTTTTTGAACAACACAATAGAATGGTATCATTAAATTATGAAACAGAGACTTTGTCTATATTAATCCTAACACAGTTTTAATATGCACATGAAAAACATGTGACTTGGACGAGATTTGAACTCGCACCTTCGGATACTGGTCTGCCGCTCTACCTGTTGAGCTACCAAGCCCACAGGGATTGGAGACGAGTCAAATCTCTTAAAACTGCGTATGGACGAGAGATTCTCGCCACTATAGTAGTTTACTGGATGGCACCGTGTTTCGACTTTATTCCAAAGCCATCATCAGAGAATACATATAATATATTAATCCTAACACAGTTTTAATATGCACATGAAAAACATGTGACTTGGACGAGATTTGAACTCGCACCTTCAGGATACTAGTCTGCCGCTCTACCTGTTAAGCTACCAAGCCCACAGGGATTGGAGATGACTCAAATCTCTTAAAACTGCGTATGGACGAGAGATTCTCGCCACTATAGTAGTTTACTGGGATGGCACCGTGTTTCGACTTTATTCCAAAGCCATCATCAGAGAATACATATAATATATTAATCCTAACACAGTTTTAATATGCACATGAAAAACATGTGACTTGGACGAGATTTGAACTCGCACCTTCAGGATACTAGTCTGCCGCTCTACCTGTTGAGCTACCAAGCCCACAGGGATTAGAGATGACTCAAATCTCTTAAAACTGCGTATGGACGAGAGATTCTCGCCACAAAAGTAGTTTACTGGATGGCACCGTGTTTCGCCTTTATTCCAAAGCCATCATCAGAGAATACATATAATATATTAATCCTAACACGGTTTTAATATGCACATGAAAAACATGTGACTTGGACGAACTTTGAACTCGCACCTTCAGGATACTAGTCCGCCGCTCAACCTGTTCAGCTACCAAGCCCACATGGATTGGAGACCAGTCAAATCTCTTTTAAACTGCGTTTGGACAGTGGCGGATCTAGGATTTTTCAAACATCAGTCATAAAACGACGGGGGCGATCCGCACCTGGGGTGGTCTGAGGCATTCTCCCCTGAGAAATTTTGAATTTCAGAACCTTGAAAATGCCATTTTCAGCGTTTTAGAGCAATACAAAATGTATTTTGTGGGCATCGGTTTTGCGTAAGTACAACACATTTTGCTTACGTTTTTTTCAAAAGAAAAATGAAGTGAACAATACTTGAATGTTTTGCCAAATATTTAGGCTCATTATCATGCCAAATATATGGCTCATTAGCATGTCTAGGAACGTAAAATTTATTTTACAATAATGCTATTCAAAAACAGATACAGTCTTTAAAAATTTCTACCAAGTTGTCAGGCATAGACCCCCCTAGAGACCCCCATTCAAACCTCTATGTAACGAGTTAAGTTAGAAATTTGGTACTACAAGTGACAGTTCATAGATATAGAAAAGCTCAGACTTCAAACCATGCAAGTTTATTGTAACCCTTTACCCATCTCCACATCAGTGTCAGCAAATTCACTTTTTGAGAAAAAACTCAAAATTTTTCTGCCAAAGATTAAGCAAAATTATCAGAGTAAAATTTGCAGTTAAGGACAGCTTAATGTCATAAATGTTTATTAGGCATTTCACTAGACTATTATCTTCTGTAAGTATATGCAAGGTGTGCTATATAGCAATCACTAGTAGCATTGTATTTGCAAATACAAACAGAATGTAACCAACATGTCTTTAATTATATAATTACATGAATGTTATATTTGGTTCATGTGTCATGCTTACTGGTTATGATAAATATCTTTTGATATGATCAAAGCTCGTTTGATCTGAAATAATTTAGTTTAGAAATTATAATGATCATCAGAAAAATTACATAGTGATCATGAAAATACTTTGCTGTTTTGCCAAATTTCAAGGTTTATCTGCATACATAGGAAGACATTTTTACTCTATAAAAAATGCTTTTCATACATCAATAGCCCTTTGGATTTTATGGTATGAGCCATAGATTAACACACCTTTACATCTCTACATGAGGTGTTCAGTTTGAAAAGGGGACAATATGTGACATGGGACAACATTTCATGTATGTGAAATACTCAGGTTTAATACCATTCCAGTCAAATTGTCAAAATAAAAGCTTCATGGATCAGAAGACTCAAAATCACAGGTTATAGTAAACAGCTTCTCATGTAATCAATGTTAGTTTTCTCAAATCTTAAACAATATGTAGTATAACTGTCCAATGATTGAATGATCAATGATCATAAACTGAAAAGCCCCAAACATTTGCTTATGATAAAGTAAATAATAGTATGGCGCCTTATGGCTACAGATTTTTTGTCCATTGAAATATATTTGCAGGAATGTAGGATTTTGCTGCCATATAACGGCCACGATTCCCCAAGCACTAAAGAAATTATAGCTAAAACTCCTTCGGCAACAACAATTTTAGAAGCATCAATCTGCTTACCATATGGCATATTGACATAAATCGCATCACATACTCGCATAAATTGACTTTGATATATTACATTCATGCATACACTTCACTTGTCCTTTACTTACGATTTTGGATGTAAATTTCTGTTGATAAAACTCAAAACAATGTTGGCTTTCTTTTGAACATCAATGACTGAAATGTCGCTCGCGAGATCGTCTTCGCCAAGCATTTACAATTTATACATAAATTTTTCACCCTCTTGAAAAAGTTCACAGTTTGGACAGCTTCATTCATGTCAATATATGAATTTGTAAAAGATTTCCATAAAATCCATCTGATTGTAGTTTAGTTTCTATCATGCTTATAAAAATTGCTATGAAACGATCAAACATTCAATTCAGACAGTGAGCTTGACTATGTTAGTTCAGTTGGCTATTAGTCGAAATCCGTCAAACCAATCACAATAAAACAAAAATTCAAATGAACCAATTGTAAGATAGCAATGAAGTATTTGCCGGTTGCCAGTCTCCCTTAAATTTGCGCAAATTTGCTCATTATACTGAACTACCATTTTGCTTGCACCAAGTCAAATGGAAGAGAAATGGAGTGCAAACAATGACCATTAAGTCGAGTACGTATATTTCCGATCGTATTGAAGTCACATTTTAACAGATGGAAAAATAATGCTACAAGTTAATGTTTCCTTTTCACTTGTAAGAGTTTCTTAAAGAATCCTTTTACGTGGAGAACTGTGTCTTTACATGATCGCCGATATTGCTTTTGCTCAAAAGTCTTGGTAGTGTTTATGCCGATGAACTAAAATGGCGGGATAGCTGGTCATTTATCGTCACAAAACGTGGCTAGAAATACTCAGAGAAACATCATCACGCAGCAGACATATGGAACTGGGGTGAGCCTGTCACTGCTCGTTCTACAGTTCCTCTTGTTCCTGCTAAACAATCTCAATGTGCTTGGGATGACAGTGAAGAATCAAAGCGAAGAAGAATGTTTTGTGATAAGTTTGAAGGCTATGGAAGTGTATGCAGTTGTAAGTATCTTTTCGTTACATCCATGTAGGATTAGATTTCTTATTTAATTGAACGTACAGCGATGTGTTCAGTAATTTTGCCATTCACATTGTGCATTAAAACTTCGAGAAAATATTCTGAGAATACTCCATGGAAAAAATTGTAGAAATAAGGATATCACTGTTATTGCAGCTAATGTTAGAACGATATGAAGAACTGACAGAATATGTTCTTAAATGTTGTAGGTAATAATCCTGCTGCAATTGAAATTAAAACAACACCGTTGAAGTTAGAAAAAGTTCAAGACATTCCTGTTGCTGTGATTGCTAGTAACAGGCCACATTATCTTTATCGTGGCTTACGGTCAATGTTGTCATCTCATGGAGCAAAGAAGGAGTTATTTACTGTATTTATTGATGGATTCTTTGAAGAACCAGCTGCTGTGGCAAGGCTATATGATGTAAAAGTCGTACAGCATATTCCTATTAGCAGTAAGAACGCTAGAATATCACAGGTTGGTAAGGCTTTTTCTTTGAGAGTGTTTACACGATGTAATCAAAATTTTTTCGTTCCTTTTATTACTTTTTAAATGTATTTTCTCTTCCTCCTAGCATTACAAGCGAACATTGACAGAGACGTTTAATGCTTATCCCAATGCTGGGTATATGATTATTTTGGAAGAAGATTTAGACGTATCTGTGGACATATTTAGTTATTTTAATCAATTTTTGCCTTTAATGGATACAGATGAAAGTCTGTACTGTATATCGGCGTGGAATGATCAGGTTTGTTATAAACGAAAGCTAACAACATTCTTTTCATCTTTTTAGTCTTTTACTCTATTGTTGGCTTGTGTTTGCTACACAACAAAATTTTAATTCGTTTTCAACTTTATTAACGTGGTTTTGAACGTCTCTGATTCTTTTTCCTTTTTTGTCGAGTCCAGTTTATCTCTGACGAGAGTGCAGAATGTAAATTAAATAAATCTCAAATATTTTTCACATTATAATGGAAAATGGAAATCTCCGTACAAGAATCTGTTATCTTATTGTAGTTTTCATTGGTTACATTATGTTTGTCTTTATCGAGCTTCCTTCCTTGCACATCACAAAGTGAAATTTAGGAAATTTACCTTAGAAATGGTACATCCATTGAAAACTAATTTATGTGATTAATGATTTAATTGCAAAACAAGTATTTCTATTTTTAGGGTTATGATCACACGTGTAATGATCCTGCAATGTTATATCGTGTAGAAACAATGCCTGGTTTAGGCTGGTGAGAATTTTATTACTACAAATGATTTTGTTTACGCTATGACATCACGCAACAGTGACGTCATGCTACAATGACATCACACTACAAGCACATCACGCTGCAATGACATCACGCTACAATGACCTCACGCTGCAATGACATCACGCCACAATGACATCACGCCACAATGACATCACGCAGCACTATAAATGTATAGATAGTATAAACTTCATTCTATCTATTATTTCTCTTTGCATTAACAGGTTGCTCAAACGACGAGTTTATAAAGAAGAACTTGAGCCAAAATGGCCAACCCCTGATCTCTTTTGGGATTGGGATATGTGGATGAGGATGGACAGCAACAAAAAGGGACGTGAATGTATCATTCCGGATATCTCAAGAACCTACCATTTTGGCGCCAAAGGCCTGAATATGAATGTATTTTTTCAAGAATCCTATTTCAAAAAACATACGTTGAATACTGAACCTAACGTTAAGTTTAATGTTGGATTGTTGAAAAAAGAAAATTATGAGAAGGAGATTGAACGGCTTGTAGGGTATGTCTTGCAGGATTTTATAAAATATTGACAACAATATTTTTCTTTTCACAGGACAATGAAGGAGATTTCTACTTAGTGATTCAGTGATCTAATTATCATCATAGTGCGTATATTTATGTCATTTGATTGTTAGAGATGTCTATCTACTGTTTTTTACAGGTTGGCAGAACACAGTTGGATCACAGTAAAAACCCTTGCAAGAACGAGAAAGACTTTGTTCCAGAAACATCTGATAAAACATATATATTTTATATTGAAATGAAACATGCTAACGACTGGACAACATGGAATAATATAGCGAGATGTTTACGAATCTGGGACTTAGATGCTCGAGGATTTCATAAAAGCATGTGGAGATTATGGTTAAAGGGTAATCACGTGTTAATTGTTGGATCACCGACTTCACCTTACGCCAAACATAAACCAATTAACGTAAAACCTATTTTCATTCCTAAAAAATCGGAGACTGCGTGATCATCTTTGATTAGAGATATCATTCGTTTATCATGCGGGATTTAAGCTAAATGAATGTGGGGAAATCTTGAAGTTTAAAAAACTTTAATGTAAATGTGATTGGATAAATTTTGATCATGGTTTGATCAAGGAAATGAACTCGTTGAACAAGGAATATAAGAGAAAAAGATAACTTTCAATTTGTTCAGTTTTACTGTTAATAATGTAATTTTAAGGATTACAACCACGGAAAAGAAACAATCGCGCTTTTCCCACAAAACATTTACCGCATTTGAAAGTCCTGCTATCGTTACATCGCTAAAGATAATTATTTGAAAACGAACTTACCTCTCATTCTTTCCCTTTGTCCCATCCTATTAGGATTGCTAAAATGAATCACTTGCTACCATTTAGTTCTGTCAATAAAATTCTCTCGTTAAATTATTACATTACATTTTACAATGGCAAGTCATATTATTGCAATAAGCAGGGCTCCAATGTTCATAATAAGTATTGAGCACGACAAAAGCTTTTCTATAACATGTGGGTGATTCCCACGTGAATAAATTACAAGCTTTTGATATGCCTTCTAATTTATTTGTTGACGTAACAAGTTGAATAAAGGTGGTCAGGTGGGAGAAAAATGATAACTCTCCTAGCTATGGTGCATTGAATTGCGGTTTTGGGTGAGATAATTTTTTGTTCATACTAGATAAAATTTACCACAACACGACATGCTCTGTCTGCCGTCATAACCTTACAATCATTGATTTCGCAAACTCTTCATTGAGGAAACAAAAGAAATATTCTTTTGTTTTCTCCAAACCTCTGGGGAAAAGGCTTTGCTTTCTTTTACTAACCAATGTCGTTAGTTAACTTATAACCAGGCTTAATTCCTTTTGTCTTTGCCCTGCATATATTTTCATGCAATCAATGAATTTAATCCCTTTTTATCATGGTTTGAACAAAATTGACGAATGAATTAATAATTAATTCATGTGATATATGAAAGTTATCAGAAGAAAAGTAGGGTCTTTCACTTCGATAACCCTATTTGACCGAGCTGTTCGTCTGGGAAAGGTGAAAGTCTGTTGAAAGTCGAAGACAGCCTTCAAGAAATGCGACTACTTGTTGGAAAGGACGAGCAACTGAAGACATGACACGGTTGAGATATTTTAGCCATGTTTGAAAGCGGCAGGTTAAATACAGAAAAATCGTCGATGACATAAAGATGTAAGTTTGAGATCGATGAATTAAAATGTATAACCCAATTGTGATGTGAATTCTCGTTACAGCATATTCAAAGCATCGTTATGAGTCCTATTTGTTCGAAGGAATGATCGATTTCTTTGGTTTCTTAGTATTTCTATGTTTCGATCTTGGAGCACAAAATGCCGTCAAGTTTCAGTTACATATTGAAGTGAGAACACGAACGAAACTGCCAAAAGTTTCCCACTATTCTTGACATCAATTATTGGACCTCTTCAATACATGTCCAGAAAATATTTTCATTTTTGCATTCATCGTTATCATTCACATAAGTGTGATGATTTTGCATTTTGCCTATTTCTAACAACTGGCCATTGTTAGAAATAGCAAGTTCAATCCTTTGTCTTTGTGACAAAAGGATATAATATTTTATGTCTCCCGAGCAGGGCCGGATTAAGATGTGTGGAGGCTCTGAGCAGCAAAAATACGTAGTAAAGATCCCTTTCCTTACTCTAAACGCAATGTGCTGCTCATTTTCAACAGTAAAATTTACTTTCAAATTTCGTAAAGCATTTGATAAAAGTATAAACTTCGAATATAGCGTGTAAAGCGGTTGCATACGACGAGTGAATGCTGCTACTTGAGATAAAGTAGTTATTGCGATTTTATTCTGGCAGTCTTTGATAAGTTCTTCCAAGTTTATTTCTGTTAGAATATTGTCCTCAATGCTCATCAGAGCAAAATGGCTGAGTTTACTGTGATTCGTTGTCATACGTGGTCTGTTCTTCATCAGCTGAAATTGATCCAACAAATAAACTAAATGCTTTTCCTTCGTCTTTAAAGCAACTATGTTTATTCTTCCTTTGAATAATGTGAAGGCCCTTGTTTGTGGAGGCTTCTAGACAGCTTCCTTTGGTTAATCCGTCCCTGCTCCTGAGAGGAACTACTGTAGCATCAAGTGATGTTATAGTAGGTGAGATAAAGTGGGTAATTCACTTGAGAAACGTTCAAATGAATTACCTCAAATATATATTATAGAGTATACAAGATATTGCAACATGGGGCAAAATGTTGCTGAATCTTCAAATGCGATGATGTTTTATAAACCTTCGTACCTTACCGTAATAATTAAACAACCTTTTCAATGAAATCGAGCAGAGAATATATTGCATGAGACATTCGTTAATTATCTTGTTTTTATCTAGGTATTTTTGAATTATATCGCATGTAATAAATCGTTTGACAATGTTACAGAACACTGCATGTGTTATAACATTGAGGGGTGTTACAGCACAACGCACGGTTCAAACGATAAGCTTTCCGCGAGTCTTATAATCTTCAAAGAGTTGTTCACTTAACATACATGTTCAGTCATGTACAGTGTCGAGCGTACGGACAGTGAAAGAACGCGAATTCTGGCAGTGGTATGTGCTAAACAATTGTTTGTTTCCATTAAACAAATAACTCCTTCTTCAGTCTTTTTTTAGGTACAAGAGATGAAGATCAGGAAGAAGATAGAGGAGTACGTTATTATTTTTCCTGTCCTTATCTTAACTTGTTTTTAGATTTTTCGTTTAGATGAGGAGGAGGCTGATGAAAAGTAGAGGAGGATGCTGACGGAGAGACAAGAAGGATGCAGATGAAGAGACGAGGATGCAGATGAAGAGAAAAGGAGGATGCAGATGAAGAGACGAGGATGCAGATAAAGAGAAAAGGAGGATGCAGATGAAGGGACGAGGAGGATGAAATGAATGGACAAGAGGATCAAGAACGGACAAGGAGGATCAAGAAGGATATAGAAAGTTACTTTCCTGTCATAATCGTAACGTTTAGGTCAGAGGAGGAAGGAGGATGCAGATGAAGAGACGAAGATGCCGAAGGATAAGAAGAAGGACCGATGAAGAGGAGGATGCAGATGGAGAGAGGAGTATGCAGATGAAGAGACGAGGAGGATGCAGATGGAGAGAGGAGGATGCAGATGAAGAGGAGAGGATACCGATGAAGAGACGACGAGGATGCAGATGAAGAGACGAGGAGGATGCAGATGAAGAGACGAGGAATTCAAGTGAATTATCTCGATTATATATCATAGAATATTTGTATATTAATATATAATTGAGGTAAGTCATTTGATATTGCAACATGCGGGCAGAATGTTGCAAAATCTTTAAACTCGATAGTCTTTTATTAACCTTAGTGCCTTACCGTAATAATCAAACAACCTTTTGGATGAAATCGACAAGATTTGAGTAGAGAATATATTGCATGAGACATTCGTTAATTATCTTGTTTTATCTAGGTATTTTGAATTATATCGCATGTAATAAATCGTTTGACAATGTTACAGAACACTGCATGTGTTGTAACATTGAGGGGTGTTACAGCACAATGCAAGGTTCAAACGATAAGCTTTCCGCGAGTGTTATAATCTTCAAAGAGTTGTTCACTTAACATACATGTTCAATCATGTACAGTCATGGATATCGATGTTTTAGCATGATAGAACTATAACAATGTGAAAGCACGATCTCCATAATCACTTGCTATGATTTTCATTCAACAATTTTTGTTGCATTTATGTGGACATGTCGGGCTTATGGACAATGAAAAACACGAACCATAACAGGGGTATGTGCTTACAATTGTTTGCTTCCATCAAACAAATAACTTCTTCTTCAGTCTAGTTTTAAGCACTAGAGACGATGATCAAGAAGAAGATAGAGAAGTATGTTATTTTTTTCCTGTCATAATCTTAACTTGATTTTTAGATGTTTCGTTAAGATGAGGAGGATGCAGATGAAGATACAAGGAGGATGCAGATGGAGAGACAAGGAGGATGCAGATGGAGACGAAAGGATGGAAAAGAGGAAGAGATGGAGACAAGAGGATGCAGATGAGACAAGATGGATGAAGACGAAGGATGCAGATGAAGGACAAGAGGATGGGAAGATGGAGGATGCAGATGGATCAGGAGGAATCGAAGCGAGAGAAATGCGATAAGATCGATCAGATGAAAGAGAAATCGATGGAAAGATCGAGGATCGTCGCGAATCAAGGAGGTCGATGATCGCGAGAAAGATCAATCGCGACAATAAATCGGCGGAAAATTCGTCGGTCAGATCAAATCGGAGGATCGATCGTCGGCGATGAGAATCGATGGCTCTTCGTCGGTCAGATCGGGCGAGAGATCGATCAGCGCGAATCGTCGGCGATCGCGGATCAGAGGATCAGGATGCGAATCATCATCGAAAAAAAGCGATGGATCGGGAGGAGATGCGTGGAAGAGAAAGGAGGCAGATGGGAAAGAGGAGGATGCAGATAGAAAGAACAAGGAAGATGCAGATGGAAAGACGAGAAGGATGCACATGAAGAGACGAGAAGGATGCACATGAAGAAACGAGAAGGATGCACATGAAGAGACGAGGAATTTAATCAATTACCTCAATTATATATTACAGAATTGTATATTCTGTAATATATAATTGAGGTAATAAGAATTCATTTGATATTGCAACATGCGGGCAGAGTGTTGCAAAATCTTTATAAACCTTAGTGCCTTACCGAAATAATTAAACAACCTTTTGGATGAAATCGAAAAGAGTTGAGCAGAGAATATATTGCATGAGACATTCGTTAATTATCTTGTTTTTATCTAGGTATTTTTGAATTATATCGCATGTAATAAATCGTTTGACAATGTTACAGAACACTGCATGTGTTATAACATTGAGGGTGTTATAACACAATGCACGGTTCAAACGATAAGCTTTCCGCGAGTCTTATAATCTTCAAAGAGTTGTTCACTTAACATACATGTTCAATCATGTACAGTCATGGATATCAATGTTTTAGCATGATAAAACTATTACAATGCGAAAGCACGATCTCCATAATCACTTGCCATGATATTGTTGTTGCATTTTTATAGACATGTCGAGCGTACGGACAGTGAAAGAACGCGAACCCTGGCAGTGGTGGGTGCTTACAATTGTTTGTTTCCATCAAACAAATAACTTCTTCTTCAGTCTTTTTTTAGGTACAAGAGATGAAGATCAAGAAGAAGATAGAGGAGTACGTTATTATTTTTTCCTGTCCTAATCTTAACTTGTTTTTAGATTTTTCGTTTAGATGAGGAGGAGGCTGATGAAAAGAAGAGGATGCTGACGGAGAGACGAGGAAGATGCTGACGGAGCTACGAGGAGGATGCTGATGGTGCTGCGAGGAGGATGCAGATGGTCCTGCGAGGAGGATGCTGATAGTCCTGCGAGGAGGATGCTGATGGTCCTGCGAGGAGGATGCTGATGGTCCTGCGAGGAGGATGCTGATGGTCCTACGAGGAGGATGCTGATGGCGCTACGAGGAGGATGCTGATGGCGCTACGAGGAGGATGCTGATGGCGCTACGAGGAGGATGCTGATGGTGCTACGAGGAGGATGCTGATGGTGCTACGAGGAGGATGCTGATGGTGCTACGAGGAGGATGCTGATGGCGTTACGAGGTGGATGCTGATGAAGCAACGAAGAGGATGCTGATGGAGCGACGAAGGATGCTGATGGAGCGACGAAGAGGATGCTGATGGAGCGACGAAGAGGATGCTGACGGAGAGACGGGAAGCATGCTGATGGAGAACAAGATGAAAAACAAGATGAGGTATAAAAATTTTTTTATTTGTTTCACTGACTTGTAACTTAGTGACTTCAGTCTTTTTTCAGGTTTATGTGTTTGTTTTTATTGTGTCGCTAATTTGTTCTTTGGCTATCTTTTAGATTTTTAAGAAATCTTGGATTTTGAGAGAGCATATATACTCTGTTGAATTCGGCGTATTCTTACTAAGTCAGAGAGTTCCCTCGCTCTCTGACTTAGAAAACGAATTTTGTGGTAAAGTATTTCAAAGTAGGCTCCTGCCACCTATTTTGGAATAATGTTGTACAAATTTCTATTAAGTAATGATTTTAGAATAATAATGTTGATTGAAAAGCATTTATGCCGTGATGAATAAATAACATCCATCGGTAGTTTTGAAACGACTGTCAGCTTAAAATATGCATATGTATTTAAATTAAACATGGTCACCATGCCAGCAAGTGTCAGCGTTTGATAAATGTTTTTCGAAATACGCTTTTCAATGCAATATGGAAATTTGTCATCATAACGTGCACAAAATTGCTGTTTCGTAATAATATATACGCAATTTTAACAAATATTTAATGTTTGGGGCTGTTTTCATTCAACCGTAGCTATAGTGTGTTTTCTTTTGACGTCATATAAGCCATGTTGGGAGAGTACATGAGAGTGTCGAAGCTCAGCAAAGCATAAAATTAGCAGAAATTCTTTTCACTGTATGGAATTTTGCCCCAACATGGTAACTGATGAAAACAATTTAGAGGAAGAAATCATTAAGGTGTAAAATGATTTTTTCATCAGCTAGCAATCCATTTGGGACTTTTCACAGTATTTTTAATTCACGAAAATTTACATAAAACGTACAAAATGACATACCTCGCAACAAGTATAAAACATGTGAAAATTGATCATCAAATTTACTGGCATTTCCCCAGTATAGTAGCGGCATCTTCTTTCATGTTTAGAGATTATTTTACACCTCAATGTTTTCTACTCTCATGTCCTTAGACCCAAAAAAAAATTTACATCTGTAATGTAATGTATGATAAACTTAGGAATAAATTTAAGAGAAAGGAACTTCTCAAACGACTTCCAGTAATATGTAAGTTTTAGCAAGTAAAATGTTCGTACAATAAATTATAAAAAACTGTGACTTGTGATGGATTTGTTGTTTCATGGCAAGACTCTTTCTTTCTTATTTATCAAAATCAACTTGGATATCGCAGTTTGGCCCTCTATGGTTTTTAAACCTAAAGTCATAGACAAGCAGGAACAATATGTTACTTTGTCTTACAACGTATTTTTGTCAAATTATCTTTTCTCATTTTCTGGCACATTTATCAAATGGGGAATGAAATATACATTGAATAACAGTTCCATTTGACTTATTAAAAACAACATTGCAGTGGGTATGTGGTCAAGTCATATTTAACATATCTAATTGTCTATCGTATTCTTTAACATCGATATGATATCGTTTACATAGAAGAATGTCATGTGACTAATGTTTTATCCATATATCTGGATCTGGTGAAGTCAAATTGGCAAGTCGATACAGTTGAATTGAATCAAGCTAAAGTGTGCATGTAGCTTCTATTTATATTAACTGCTATTTTTCCAACAAAATGATATGCACTGCAAGTCATTCGAAGGGCAAAGAAACAAACTGTAAAGAGTAAAATAAAACCATTTTTTTTAATAATTCCTGCAGAAGAACACGATGAATTTTCGCTAAAGATAATTATTTGAAAACCAACTAATCTGTTTCTTTGTCTTTCCTTTATCCCATCCTATTAGGATTGCTAAAATGAATCATTTGCTGCTACCATTAAGTTCTGTTTACTCCATACTCTTGTGTAAAACCACTAACAGTTATTTTCAAAATCATCTCAAAACACCTGAAACTTCTTAATTACCCTTAACTATCCTTTTAAATTACGTTAATAATCAAAAATTGCATCATATGTGGTAGGTACATACATATTTCTAGGGTTTATCGCTCTTGCAATATCCTTAACTAAAGCATATAAAAACACTACATAATAATTCAAACAAAAAACTAGTACAACGTACTTTAAACGTTCCTTTTTTTAAGAGTTCAATGCGAGAATTTAATTGTACCATTTTGGACGTTATGAACTTTTGCTTTAGTCTGAGGACATTGGAAGGATTAACTATTGGAGAAGAAATTATATAATCTGATTTTGATATAAGAAATCATAACCCTTGCAAGACACTGGAAGTCCACTCCACCCCCCTTTACCCATTTCTGAAAAAGATTTTGTTGTTCATAAAGAATATCTTCAGAGGTCATTCATTTCTGTTTTGCATGGATGTGAATAAATATTCCATGTAGAACAACACCGAAAAACGGACCAAAGGCCGCCAGAATAAAAGCCTGGAAGGTTGGAAGGCTGTAACCAAAGATTTTCAAACCTTGTGCTGTTTTGACGTATTTACACATGCGTCTTATGGCGTACATATGGAAGAAGATGTATCCTTTCTTTTCTTGCTCTTCTAAATCACAGTCCTCGATAACTTGATAGGCTTGGTTTAAGCGGTTTTGAAGGCGAACCATCAAACCAATAGGAAGCAAGTAAAGCAACAATGATTCAAGTGTCTTCATGATGGTTTTAACTAGAAATGTTTTTTAAGAGCAGAAAATGCAACATGAGAAACACTTGGAAGGCAAATCCAGTTCTACGAATAGCTGTTTTTTATTTTGCAGAACTTTTTCCTCGCTTCATTCTCGCCACTGCTGATAACGTCGTGGTTTATTTTTTCATCGGGGCCTAAACAAAAAATGTATATAACATGAATAAATACGTTAGTTTACCTTAATACACATAGTTTGAATGCAAAGGTTACAAATAAATTACCAGCAAACTGTCTAACGTCACGTTCGAAAATATAAAAGTTTTAAACTTAAGTCAATAAAAACCGATGACAGATAATTAAAAATGTTTTTAAATATCAATGCTTAGTCGTTTGTTTTCGAAGTTTCGATTTCGGTTTCAACCAGACATGACACTTCGCACAAATTCTTCGTAATTCACTTGTCCTTTCTGTTCCAAGCCACTTGTCAACATGTCGGCGTCTTCAATGGTCAATTTATCTCCTAATGTAGTCAAAACTTGTCGACGTTCAGCACAACTGATATTCCCAGAGCAATCCTTATCGAAAACACGGAGGCATTCAACGAATTCTTGAGGTTTAACTTTCCTCGATTTTTGCTTGCAAGAAAGTGCAATTGGTATAAGATCTTCGTGGGTTATACGCTTGTTTCCAGAAGGATCAAGTTGAACAAGAAATTTCTGAACTTCGCTTTCTGTAGGATTCTCACCGATCGCTCGTAGGATATCAGCTAAAGCACTAGAATCAACTTTTCCATCACCCATAGTATCATACAAATCTATAGCATCTTTCATTGCATTTATATCACGTTCGCTTAACGAAGACATTTCTGATTTCTTTCAGAGGCAGAGCAGTTGACTCAAAATTTCCTTGTTTACAACACAACGGAGCATACATAAATATTAAATCTAGAATGTGAACGAATATTTAATTAGGTATGTGTTATTCGATTTATTTCAATAGTTGGAGGATAATAATGAATATGAGAGAAATCCTTTCCTGTTCAAGTACGCACGTAACGTTATAATCTAATTCACCTAAATATTTGGCAGAAATAAAACAGAAAAAGATATTTTATTCACCATTCTACAATTTTATTTTGATAATAATGACCTCCTACGCAGTTCTTGTCTTAGGTTAGCTGTGTGTCAAGATGGCGGTCGACGTGGCAATTAAATTGCAATCACCATTCATGAATATTTACTAGAATCAAGTGATTTAGTGATGCGAGTATTTTGAATGAAACGAAAGGACTTCATTAAGATGCCATTCATGGAAGGGGCGCTTTGGAAGTGGACAAATTATGTTACTGGTATATAAATTTATCTTTCGATAGAAGTTTATTTATTAAATAATTAAGTGGGTGGAATTTCTTAAGAATACATTCTTTTCACGGCTCCATTTTGTGCACCTGCAAAGCTCTCATTATTTCATATGCTATAGCCTACGCAGGTGGTCAATACTTTTAGGTCAAAGTGGATTGGTGTGGTTTACCAAAAATGTAGATTCGATTACTGAGATATCACTGGTGTTTAGAATCAATTTTAAATTTGGTTAGTCCCTAAGTCAAATTTCTTCTTTGGGAGAGAATTAGTTTGGGAATCAAATCAAATAGTATGGTGTCATAACTTAACGAAAACTACCATGAATGGAGGTTTGCGATACATAAATTTATATAAACTTGTTTCATTCTCACTAATTCTCGGAATTCCCCACTTCTAGGATCATGTGATCGTCATGAATAATTTGGTTAGCACTATTTTCCACCCAGCAAACCGCCCTTTACTTTGAAATATAATATTTTACACAATATAATATTTTACGCAATCTAATATTTTACACAATATAATATTTTATATAATATTTTACACAATCGTCGAAAAACGACATTTTCCAGCCTGGATTATAAGTTTATAACTTAAGGTGGTTGCATGAAAATTTATACTGCAACATTTATCGCTAAATATTTTCATATATGTTGATATTAAAAACTGTATTATAAAAAGATAAAATTACTCGCCATCTCAAAACGACCTAGCACCAGTGCATGCATGGTTTCCTTTTAGCTTTTGGTTCTTTCCCATTAGCCGCCATCTTTAATTTATTTCTGATTGTGTAAAGTAAAGGGCGGTTTGCTGGGTGGAAAATAGTGCTAACCGAATAATTTGGGGCAAAGAGCAACATTGTTTCAAACCATTGCAACGAACCATACGCCCAATAGCGTAAATGGTAAAGTTTAGAATAGCATACTACGATGGTTTTTGCAATGCATTCTGGGATCGCCAGGGGGCAAACATTGTGTATTATAAAGATATCTTTTCGTAAAAAGTTTATATTCAAATTATAATGGGAATAGGGATCACAGTGCTGTTTATGGCTGTGATAACGATAGGAGATATCCTGAAAAATATATCGTTTCCCATCACGTTGGTATTCTTAGCTTTTTTCTCCGAAAAACGAAAGACAAGAGTGCTTGGCAAAAGCTGATCAACAGGAAAAACTTCAAAGTCACTACTAATACGATGGTTTGTTCTAATCATTTTCTTGCTGGTTATCGATCCGAAGGCTTTCCCAATCCAACTTTGTATCTGAAAGGATACCAATCAAAAGAAACCAGTAAACGATTACCGCCGAAAGATAGAAGCAAATCAAATATTCCTAAAATAAAAGAGACGAAAAGTTCTCTGTGAAGGCAGTACTTAAAACGCTTTGAGCATGAGGATAAGGCATTTTTTGCTGCTGAACTCACTGCTCCTGAGCAGTGTACTGAGCCAGAGTCTGTGCTCCAAGACAGTCCACAAATAAATTGTGCAACAGACTTGGATGTTACAAGTTATGATTCTGATGATAGCTACAGCTTTAAAAGTGATAAACATGACCTCATTGACTGTTATTGCCAGGGCGATGTTAAAACATTGAAAAGAAACTTATTTATTGAACAAGCTATTTCCCAGATACCTAAGATACCTGGTAGCCTGAAAATATCATGGAGCAGCTATAAGTCACCAACTCTGGTCTCATAAACTTGCTAGAAAAAGGTGATGGTGTCATGGCTGATAAAGGATTCCTTGTTAGAGATCTACTTGTGGTGAAGAAAGTTCACCTTATTTCTCCTGCCTATTGTCATGGAACAACTCATACTCGTGCTGCCTCATTAAGATCTCATGTCGAAAGGAATATAATGAAACTAAAGCAATTTCAGATTTTATCAGGAGTTATTCCATTGACATTAAAACCAGTTTTGGACAACATTTTGTTTCTGTGTACATATGTAATTTAGGAAAGTGTGGTATAAAGTAATCCTCACACAATCTAAAATAAATTACACTTAATATTTTTATTTTGAAAAGCTATTATTTGTAAATATAAAATTTTATCATTGCACATATTTCAATAAAAGACTACTAATCATATAATTCTTATAGAAAAGAAACACAGTTTTAAATACATCACTCCAGAAGTCAGCATCAAATGGTAATTGCACTATATCACTTCCTTTTCTGTAAATACAATAAAATC